AACAGTAAGCAAAAAACCAAGCAACATATACACCAGATAATATTTATTTAAATTTTTAAAATCATAAAACAATATATATTATTATTCATATATGAATATGTAATAAAGGTTTAATTATTGTGGCAAAGGGTGAGGAATGAAGACAGGAAAATGGGGCAAACATCTTAATAACATATTTCTTTTAAAATAAAGCTAATTGTAATGTGACGAAATTTTAACATGTGTTTTATCTGTGTGATGGGTGCATAGGTGTCCATTATTATTTTCATACTATCTATGTGTTTGATATATGTTACAATTAAAATATTTTAAGAAAAAAGATGTTAATGCTTCAAAGGATCTAAAACCCCCAAAACCTCCCAGTGTACCTACTGCCACAAACCAAATAGTTTTTGAAGGTGCTTACATCTAAGCCCAAAGATGGAGTCATATAACAAAAAATAACTATAGAATACTGGGAATAAAGATCAAGATAAATACTGAGAATGCCTTTTCTTTGCCCAAGATGTCTCTTCAGCCTTTCTTTAAATCTATACTTACTTTTAGAAATTTCCTTACTAGAATTACTTCTTCTATACCTCATTAAAGTATAAAAGTATCATAGGTTCAAAGTACTATGTATTTCTGTCTTATAATTGAGTAAAACCAGACATACCATCTATATTCATTGTCTGTATTCATGGATAACACATACATTTCAACTATCTCAACAAAATCTTGACAAGTCTGGTCAGGTTTGAAATTTAAACTCTGGATGAAATGAATTAGCTACATTATAACTAATATTGCAGTCAAAGAGAAGCTCCTTATTTTTTAAAGAATCATTTCTGGAATAAATGATGTTTACATTCTCAGATTCAAATTCTTTTAAAAATAAAATGTTATTTTTTCTTTTCAAATTCAGAAAAAGAATATCTATGTATTATTTATGATTATTCATTGTGGCAGAGACTCCTAATAATTTACTCCCATTTCTTCTTCTGAGACACACAGACTGTATTTCCCATCCTCCCTGGCAGTTAAGTATGGCCAGGTGACTGGCTATAGCTGCAAGACCGGCCTACAAAAACTTCCAATGCATAATTCCTCATCCTCTTCTGCCAGCGGGATACAGATGACAACAAGTCCCTAGAGGATGACAGAAACACAACTGGAATAATCCTGTGTCCCTGGATCTCAACATGAAGGAAAGTCACTTAATAAGCATGTCCATATGAATGAGGAAAAAAAATTCTACTGTATTAAACCACTAAAATTTGGGGGTCTATTTGTTACCACAATTAGTGCTACATTAACTAAAACGTGTAATCATTCTTTTCTTGGAGAAATAAGCCAGAAAAAAAAGAAACCCATATGTAAATCATAAACAATTTTCCAATTGTCAATATGAAATACATTATACTTACAAATTGAGGTTTGTAATACGCTGGACCAAGGGTACTGTCACTAGCAGGTGGAAAACATTTTATAATACTGCCATCATCATTAATATGATAACCATATGACTTTCCATAAGAAGGAATTGAAGGAACATCAACACTTCTGGTAAGTGTAGGTGCTCTTGAAATTTTCTACAAGGAAAACATTTTATATTATTTATTCCAAGGCAAGAGGAAGGGGAATGAAGAACCAAATATTAAAAGTTACTAAAATGCAACTATTAAATATTGATTTAATGAGTTTCATGATATAAAACAAAAATGACTGTTTTGTTATTATTTTTTTGAGATAGGGTCTCACTCTGTCACGCAGGCTGGAGTGCAGTGGTACAACTTGGCTCACAGCAACCTCTGTCTCCCGGGTTCAAGCGATTCTCCCCACGACCTCACCCGCCCAAGTAGCTGGGACTACAGGCGTGCACCACTATGCTTGGCTAATTTTTGTATTTTTAGTAGAGATGGGGTTTTGCCATGATGGCCAGGCTGGTCTTGAACTCCTGACCTCAAATGATCTGCCAGCCTCGGCCTCCCAAAGTGCTGGGATTACAGTAATGAGCCACTGTGCCTGGCCAAAAATGTTGGTTTTGTAAAAGTAATTTAAAGGAGTGAATTCAAGCCTGTTGCTTCATACTATAAACCAAGAGAATGTATTTCTATTAAATTTAGAGTAGAATATAATATAATAGGTAACTATTAAAGTCATCATAAGAAGCAAAGATTTTTTCTCATTTGGGTCAGTTACTTATCTTGCTTAGTAAAACCATCATTACTAATTCTAAAAACAGGCAATCCTATTCACATCAACAATCATGCTATTACACTATCTGCTACGCAAAAACAAACTTTGCATTTTTCAGTAATACTTTCTGGCTTCATTCATTCCCAGCTCCTGACTTTTGCTTCCACATTTCCTGAGTCTTGTATAAATATCCTAAGTATGCAAGCTATATAGCAGGAAAATGTCTATGATGTAATGCTAAATGGAAATAGCAAAATATAAAAGTGAATTATGAATATAGCTATGTGAAATCATATATAAATGTATAAAGTCACATACATATATAATTTAATACCAAAAGACGCTATGCAAAAATTAACAGAAAATTAATGTTAGAGTCAGGAGTTTTAGGGTGATTATCCTTTTATCAAAATTTGGTTTAATGTAAAATATTTTATAATTTAAATTAAAAAATGAAGGTATAACATACATTACAAATATTAATATAAGATATATCAACTAAAAGTACTGGCATATAAAGGACTTAGTTATTGGGAAACTGAAATTATTAAGAATATATTGATTCCTGAAGTTTCTGTATGAATAAATTAATGCTATAGTTGCATATTCATGTGCCCATGTACAATTATGTTATAAACATACTCTCAGTAGCAAATTTTCTTTTTCTTTTTATCTGAGACAGAGTTTTTGCTCTTGTTGCCCAGACTGGAGTACAGTGGCATGATCTCTGCTCAATGCAACTTCCACCTCCCGAGTTCAAGCAATTCTCCTGCCTCAGCCTCCTGAGTAGCTGGGATCACAGGCACATGCCACCACACCTGGCTAATTTTTTTGTATTTTTAGTAGAGATGGGGTTTCACCATGTTGGCCAAGCTGGTCTCGAACTCCTGACCTCAGGTGATCCGCCCACCTCGGCCTCCCAAAGTGCTGGGATCACAGGCATGAGCCACTGTGTCCAGCCGTTTTTCTTTCTTAATATAATTTGGGAGGGGGGTGGGGGAAAAGTCTCACTGTGTTGCCTAGGCTGGAGTACAGTGGCATGATCTTGGCTCACTGCAACCTCTGCCTCCCGGGTTCAAGTGATTCTCATGCCTTAGCCTCCCAAGTAGCTGGGATTACAGGAGTGTGCCACTATGCCTGGCTAATTTTTGTATTTTTTTAGTAGAGAGTGGGTTTCACCATGTTGGCCTGGCCAGTCTCAAACTCCTGGCCTCAAGTGATCTGCCCCCACCTCCCCGGCCTCCCAAAGTGCTGGAATTACAGGTGTAAGCCACCACACCCAGCCAGAATTTTATCTTTTATCAAATTAAAGACAATCTTTAAGTAGTTTCAGTAATACCTATGAGATTAATTACCAAATTAAAATAAGAAACCATTGAATGGCTTTCCCTCCTTTCAGTACATTTAAAAAGTATTTGTGTGATGTCAAGACTTTCCAAAACATAGCCCCTACCTCCATTCTCTATTCCTACAACTCTCCCTTCACTCCTGTACTCCAAACATTCCAAAGAATTTTGTTCTTTCCGGTAATATATCATACTATCAAACACTTCAGTTTCTTTATTCATGTGGATTTTTCTGCACATAAAGTGGGGAAAAATATTTTTTCCCATTCCTTTTAACTACTCGGTGAATCCTTCTTCAAGATCAGGTCCAATCTGTCTCCCCTATTCCCTCCAAAGACTCTCTACTTTGAGCTACTACTGAACACTGTATTATGGCTCTAAAATAGCATTTCATTAACAGTATTGTACTGAATTTCATTCATTATTTTCCTGTTAAAATTATACATCTGAGGAAGCAATAATATTTTCTATGTACTACCAACATCTAGCATTATATGTATGGCCATATAGTCACTCAAAAAATATTTGATAAACCCCCAAAGTAAATGTGGGGACATTTACTTTGTCCCCACACACGAAATATCTGATATTTAAATATGCTTACAAAATTTAACCTCAATGTCATTGCACTGATATTATTCAACTAAGTACTTAGCCTTAAAATATATCTTCCTAAACAAAAAACTGATTAAAATGTAATATGAGCTACATGAAAGTTATGACAAGAGAAGGGAACCACTCTAAACAAACAGTGACCAAATCTGCTCTATAATAGTATTTATTTCAAAGAAATTCTTCATTTCAGTTAAAATAACCTTCTCATTATCTTCCATAAAAATCTCACTTCTGTATCTTCACTCATGTAACACTCCAGTTTGGAATCCATATTCCAACTCTGTTCTTCAATGTCATGTCAAAACCTCTATAAATCTTCCATAAATTATGCCTTCACATAATACAGTAATCCACCTTTAAATTCCTATGGCATTTCATTACATGATCATTCATTTAGCAACTGTCACATCTTGTCTTGAATTAACAGCTACCTATTTGTCTATCTTCCATCTAAATTTTAAGCTTTTTTATCTCAGGAATCATATTTTTAACTTATTTTATTTATATTTTTTCCTTCCTTGCCACCAGGAAGGAAATATATTATTAACAGTACTTAACACAGAGTTTCCTCTATACATAGGTAAACCACTCAGGTAGTTTGTAAAATCTCCCTTACTTTTTATTCACCACAGATATTGAAAGTGACTATAGATTTATTAGGAGCAAATATGAAGTTAGACATGAATACAGTTAAAAACTAAAGTTTATTTACTTATAAAATAACTAAAATATAAATACTAACAAATCTAATTTTTATAAGAAGGCTTTTTAAATGTACTTAATATCACATAAAATGTTAAACCTTGACAATTTTAACTTAAAAAAATGTCATTACAAGTATAATTTAAAATAGAAACGTACTGACTGAAGATGCTCTCTGGTCTCTAATACTTTTCTGTTCATGATATCTTGTGTTTTAGGATAAGACTGATTATAGCTTGCTGGTCCTGGATTATCTGAAATAAACTTCTTAAAACGTTTCTCCCGGTTTTGTAGACTATGGCCTCCTTTTATGTTACACTAAAATGGAGAAGAAGAAAAATACCTTCAGATATATAAAAGAAGCACTTTACAATTAATTTCTACTTGATAAACATTAATTATTATCAGAAAATAGTTTTAAAACGCAAGCTAAGAAAGTTCACCCTTTGACTGAAGACATAGTTCTAGTAAAAGGGGATAGCAAGAGCAGATAGCAATTATAGTTGTCAGTTTTAACTTGAAACTCAAAACTGAAATTTGCTGTACTTGGAGAACTTTGAGAGAGTGCAAGAAAACTCTGTTTTAAAGAAGAAATCAGAGATGGGAATTCCCAAAGCTGTAGAGCAAGAATAAAAGCCCTTAGAAAAAATTTTACCCCTGAAATGAACTGAAAAAAAAAAAAAAAATGTTGGCATTCATATTGAAGGGGAAAAGCAAACCCTTCAAGGTTGTTTATTGATACTTATTTTCACAAATAACATTTCGGTCATTTCCAGAAAAAATTATAAAGACTTATTAGCAACAGCTTGGTTTTATGTTCAGATTAACTTTAAACATTGTTTATTAGAGAGCAAACATTTGGGTGGAATCTTCCAGGGCTCTCCATGCTACATATCTGGATTTTCCAGAATCTGAAAATTACCAATTGACGAATATCCAATTAATTTGGGTAAAATTACATCATAAAGATTCCTGTAAACAATTACAGTGCAATCATTTCAAAAAGATGAGTTATGATAACAGTGGCTGGCGTCTGATTGATCAGCTAAGATTTTAAGTCACTGATCTACAAATAGCCCTTTTCACATGTCCAATTGTTCACAGTCACTGTTCACAGAGGCTGTCTCTAGTGGGCACCTTATTCAACTTCACTCAGCTTTTAAGAAACATACAAAGGAGGTCTTCTTTTAAAAATTGAGTCAAATTTTATTTTTAAATAGGCAATTCACTACTTGATTACTATTTTTAAAAGATCAGAATTTCTATGTTTAAAGAGTAGATGTATAAAAATAACTTTAATGATTTATTTTACAAAAACACTAACAAGTTGAACAAAAAGTAAAATTCTGTGAAAAGAGAAGAACTTTTCAAATTTTGATAATTTAAAAGCCATTACCATAGGCTCTATGATCATACAAATCAAACTGCAATCTGCATCTATATCGATCACTTCAACAAGGACTTTATCTGCGCCTCCAACAGGTGAGTTAAAGGTTCTGCTGGGATCAGCTAGCAGCCAATACATATGAAGGCAAAATTTATGTGAAAACGGCAAAAGGTGATACTCATGACTATGAAGATATCAGAGTTATATCTACTATTTCTAAACATAAATGAACCATTGAAGATAATCTGGTCACAGACTCTTGAGACTGTGCAGAAACAGGAGACAGATGAGACAATGGCAATGGCTATAGCTTTAAAGCATGGCACAAAAACCAATTCTTTCACTCTACTGCAATTCCTCTTCTACACATTTTGACTATCTGCACAACTTCCATGGGCAATAATTCATTCAAGAGTCCTATTCTCTCATTCTCCAGGACCATACAGCATGTAACAATGTTTTGTGTCTTATAGAGTATGTAGAATAATGAAAAACATCCAACCCAATCATGCAACCAACATCGAATACATTTATTTTCTATTATTCAAATTATAAAATATAATTTGAAAGTAAAAGACAATATGAGCAGAAAATAAAATATAACAAATGACATTTGATCTATTCAGGGAAGAAAACATTATTTTATTAAGTCAATTATAGTAACTATAAAGTTACCTGTGCTTCTGAAACATTATAGTGTCCTGGACCTGGAACAGCTTTCTCAATGCTAGAGGCAATGGTAAAAGTACTTTCTCTGGCAGTCAAAGAAAGAAATGGTGCATAACTACCTATAAAAATAAAATCATATGACCAGCGGATAAGATAGGAGTCCAAGGATTTCAGGAAAAAAACACTCAAAATATATATAATCATGAGTATCCTCAATTGTTAAGACTTTATTTTCAGAACTAACGGCTAGTCAGAGAAGTTATTACATTTTTTAAAATCTGATATAAGAATTTTTTATTAATATAAGAACCTAAAGACCTGAGACTTATTGAACAACAAAAAAAAACTAAAGAAAATAAAACCCTCTTGTCTTCTAATCATTTTTGGTGGGGACGAAAATAGCAGTTATATTTAGCTGATAAAACATTTTCATCCTCAGAAGACCATTGTTTTATATTTTGAAATAGCATATATTATTTGTAGAAAACATCTTATATAAACTTGTAAAGACAGCCTAGATAGAAATAATTTAAAGTGGGTTTACAGCAGATCATTCATCATGTCTCCTTGCCTAGGCACATAGTTGGTATCAGTAAATATTTCTTGATTGGCTGACTCTAAACAAAGGTTCACAAATAGAAGACACAAATTTCTTTGGAACAAATAATCATAAGATAATACAAACTTGAATACTGAAAACCTGATTCTAAAAAATTCAAGATCTGTATTGGAAAAATTATTAGCATTTAAGCAATGTGGATATCAAAGAAGAGAAGGGAGAGAATAGAGCAGCAGCTATATTCAAATAGGTAATTAAAGAATGCAAGTGAAGATTCAAAACTTTTACTCTAAATCTTGTATACTAAAGGAAAATGTGTGCTACTGTAAGAATGTATGGTGATAATATAGTAAAAATCTTGCTAATCTGGACTAATAATAAAAGATACTCTATTTAAAATAAAATAATGTGTTTCTTTTGAGGCCCACATGTATTAAAATGCAACCAATGTCAAGAATTATTTATTTGTGTTAGATATTGCAACATAAAAGAGGTGAGCAAAATATAGATCTTACCTCTAAAAAAGTAGTATCTTGAAGCATTAAGAAAAGTATTGTAATGATTTTAAACAAGGAAAAACATCTCTAATGCCACAATGGAAGACATATGCAAATTCAAAGAGAAGAGAAGTTCTCATCCACATTGAGATGATCAGGAAAAACTTCATGGATGATGTTAAAATTCTAGGTATTAATTTAGTGACTGATGGTTTTAGCTGGTTATCCCAAATCAGAGAAGAAGGGAAGAGAAGACGGAAAGGCAAAAGAAAGGGAAAGGGAGGAAAGAAGACAGACTGACCTTAAATTAGTTACAAAGACCAGAAGACCAGAAATCCTTAAAAGTAAGCCAAGGTTCATTTTGAAAAGGCAACAGTTGTCTGGTAGAGCTGAGAAATGCAGGACACCAGTGAAACATTCTACTTACTCAGAGTAAATAGCCAGAGAACAAGAACCAGATTTCATTCCAAATACATATATAAATACACACACATACCCACTCAAACTACATATAAAATGAATCATACATATTACCAGAGAGTGTACTTTCAAGATGCAGGAAAATATGACCCATAAAGAGGAGAAAAGTCAATGAAAAGAAACAGATTGAGAAATGAAAAGGTGGAATCAGCAGACAGAACACTATCTATTATAAATATTCTTTATATATTCAACAAGGTAGAGAAAAGGTGAACATGATGACAAGATAAAGGGAAGGTATAAAAAAGACCCAAATCAAACTTACAGAATGAAAAATACACTGGATGGAATAACAAATGTTTGTGGATTAATAAAATATATTTTTTCTCAATTCTTAATCCCTTTAAAAAAATATAGATGCTCGATGACTTGTGATGGAGTTAGTTCCCAATAAAATAATTGTAATTTGAAAATATCATAAATTGAAACTGCATGTAATATACCTAACCTATAATAGCATAGATTAGTTTACCTTAACATGCTCAGAACACATTAGCCTAAAGTTGGGCAAAATTACCTAATATAAAGACTATTTTATAATAAAATGTTGAATATCTTATGTAATTTATTGAATACTGTACTGAAAGTGAAAAATAGAATGGTTTTGTGGGTACTGGAAGTTTGGTTTCTACTGAATGCATATTACTTTCACACCATTGTGCAAAATTTAAACAAATGTTAAGTTGAATCATCATCAGTAAAGGACTGTCTGAGATTGCTTAAAGCAAAAATAGTCTCAATTTATTGAGGCATTATAGCAGATGTAGAAGTAAAATGTATAACCACAATAGTACAAAGGGTGAGCTGGGGGAAATGGAAGCATACTCTGTAAGGTTTATTTACTATATATGAAGTGGTGCAATATTATTTGAAGGTACACTGTAATAAATTAGAAATACATATTGTAAACCCTAGGCAACCACTTAAAAATAAAACAAGAGAGGTATAGCAAATAAGCCAATAGTGGACATAAAAAAAGAATTATGTTTTAAAAACCTTTATTCCTGCAACAAAAGTAAGGAAAAAGGAAAAAGAACAGATGAGACAAATGGAAAGCAAATAGCAAAAGAGTACATTAAAGCCCAAAGATATTGATAGTGAAATTAACTATAAAAGTTCTAAACACCTCAATTAGAAGGCAGAGATTGTCAGATTGTATAAATAAGACCAAACTTTATGCTGTCTCTAAGAAACTCTCTTAAGATATAAAAACAGAAATTAAAAGGATGGGCAAAGTTATAACATGCATGCATGAATTCAAAAAGCTGCAGTGCCTATATTGAAATCAGACAAAGCTGGCTTTAGAACAAGAAATAACAGGGATAAAAGATGCATTTCATAACGATAAAGGGGTCATTTCATCAACAGGATTTAACAATCTATAAAGAAAAGCAAGGAAGTTATTACCATAATAATCAGGATAGTGTTTAACTGTAGGGGAGAAGGAAAATGTTGAAATAAAAAATACCAAAAAGAACTTTTTGGAATGTTCTATCTCCATTTTTTTCGCTTTTTGTTTTTAGTTTCCTGTACCCACTGATGGCAAATCTATTTTTTAACTGAATATCTTCTTTTTAAGGTCTACATTTATATTTTATGTGGTTTTCTATGTAAGTATTCTATCTCATAATAAAAGGGTTTTAAGTTTAGGTTCATATGAACATTAAGGTAATCTGAGATAAATATGAAAACTAAGAAAGTGAAACCCACGCTACTTCTGAGGTAGTTGGCATCAGAACACAGCAGGGCCCCTAAATGAATCTACCTTAAACAAATGTAAAATTAGTTGGAGAGTACTGAAATTCATATAAAAGTTAAAAAAAACACACACTAGGCATGTACTCAATGTATTATTAATACTATTAATGGTAGAATATATATATATATACACACACACACACACACACACACACACATATATGAAATAATTGGGCAACAAAGAGAATCAAGAAAGCTGGCACTCATAAAATCTTCATTGAAGTTTTCCAAAATTAATTATATAGAATCTTTTGTCAATAAAAGTATACAAGAAATATTGAGCACAAGTAAAACTAGAAAAAAATTTAAATGTTTATAATGATACACTCCATGAGAAGGAACTTACTTGTTTATTTATTCATAACTGTGTGCCTAATGTTTACAGTGAGGGTGACCAATTAACAAATGATCTTCTAAACTAGTCATCCATTCTGTAATAGTGAATGTTCTATTATGTATGGGAGACATGCATGTATGACAGGCAGTGAGGGTACAATAATGAATAAGATAAAACCCTGCCCTCAAATAGTTGGTAAGCCTGACAAATAGACAATTATGCTACAAAAAGCACCGCCAATAATTAAGGTATAAAATATAGAAGAGGGTTCTGGGGAATTAGAGATGGTAGAGTTTGATATGGGACATATGGCTATATTGACATGTGAAGTGCCAACTACAAATTATAAATCAAACTGACAGAAAGAAGAAATTACGTATATAGAAGAAGACATTTGAGAAGAAAGAAATGAGTTCAGTTTGGTATATATTGAGTTTGAGGCACCAACAGAGAAAGATAAATCAAACTGGTATGAAGCAATAGTCAGTCTATGCTGAAAGAGAAAGTGGGCAGTATGTGATTAAAGGACAAATTCTATAGCCACAACTACAGCCACAAAAGAAAGAAAAGGACATTTTTCACATATAAGCAGTAATTAGATCTTTGAAACATGTACTCATCTTCAGGACAACAACATATACAGCAATCACATACATATTATTATCTAAACTTTAAAAGAGACAGATTGCATTCCCTGATGCAGCTATATTCTGATAGGCTAAAAAGATAAAATTATCATTGTTGACATAAGCACACAGGCACAGGTATGAGGCCATAGCCAACTTATCCTTCTGTGGCCAATAAAGCTAACCACTCCCCAACCAAAAAAGAAATCTGGGAAAGAATATTTTTAGGAGATGATGGCACCCAGCTTAGCTAACTAATAGAGAACCAACAGATATACACAGCTGATATTTATTATATAAATAAGCCAAAAAGCAATGAAATACTCCCTGGCACAATAATGCCAGGAGTAGTCACATTAGTAAAAGGAGTATGTTTTTATCACATGATACTAGGCTGGTTGTCTCTGGGGAATATTTACTTTCATAAGAGATGTTTGCTTCTCAGGTAATCGTGAGAAAATCAGGCATAGCTCTCACTAATCTGGAATTTGAGTATCCAATCTCTCCCACCTCATGAAAGCAGAAAGAAAAACAGCTTAGTCCTGTCCCCTCAGGTTGCAATTGCTGGGTAGAAGAGAGTCTCCCTGATCAAATGGCCTACAGCCAATGAAATAGTTTCAATTAAGGTAAAAAGAATTTCCTGAGGAAAATGTAGAGCCAATATCCTGAAGGACTCGCCTGGCCAAGCAGGCTACAGTGAGGGGACAGCGGGAGAGCAGCAGTTAGGGGAGAAAGGTTGGGAATAAAGAGTATCGGTATCTAGGGCTCTAAGGTATTTTCCTCTTGCGAAATTCAAAGTAACAAGTAAGTTATATAAAGCCCCTACATCTGTTCTTCCCACACCATGCTCCACAAAATGAACCTGACCCTTAGCTAAAATAGTTGTACACTTCTGCATAGTCCCATGTGTTACTGGTCCTAAAGGTAGATGAGGTAGTATGTACCTAGGAAAGAGATGGTAGCTCCTTTTAAATTATCTTCCAGAGAATCCAGCAGAGAAATCACCAAAGAGACACCTGTTCCTTCTACTGATTTTCAGCATATTCTCTCTTAGTATTGCTAAAAAACATACAGGATGCAGCTGCTCAAATTTCCCCAGCATGGAATTTCATACTTTATCTCACGGATCAACAAGACACAATCCTATAAAACAGTAAAAGGGTTTTACCACACGCTCCTTACTTCTCTCTAAGCAAAGTTACAAGAGTTTTAAATTACGCTATATGTGGCTCATTATATTTTAATTTTATTTCAAGATTACTGTTTGTTTTTTAACTTACGTGTTATGGTATTCAGCTAAAAACTAGGAATAATGGAGTAAAGATCATGGTTATTGCCCTCAAGCAGCTCACATTTTAGTGGGTCTGCCAGATAAGTTAACATTAATTACAATATAGAATCAAAGTGCTATAAAAGCCATTAAGGAGTCAGAGAAGAAAAACCTGAGAAAAAGTAGAGCCCGTGAACAACTTCACCTTAGCTGAATCTCAAAGAAAAATCAGGAATTAGCCAAGTGAAGAAAGAAAACAGTGTACTGGGCAAAAGTATCAGCAGATACAGAGGCACAGAGGTGAGTGAGCATAAACTTAAGAAAACCGTAAAGTTGAAATTGCTGAAATGTAGGTCAGGTGGAGGTGGTGGTGTGGGAGATGAGGTCAGGGTCCAGAACATGAAGAACATTATAAACCATGTTAAGGAGTTCAGATTTTAACCTTGATGTTACAAAGGATTTTTTTTCACAAATAACGTAATATATCTTAGAAAGATCACTCTTGCCACAAGATAGAAGATGGATTGAAGACTGAAATAAGGAAAAACAAGTAATATTTTATAGGTTTAATTCAAAATAGAAATAATGAGAGCTTGAACGAAGTCAAGGACAGCTAAATGGAAAAGAGGAACTAATCAAAGAGGCACTGAGAAGATAGAATCATAAGGTGTTAATGATCAACAGGAGTAGTCAGGGAGAAAAGAGTCTAGAATAATTCCAAAACTTAAAAGTTTATCATAAACTAATAGGGAATTTTCAAAAAGGGACCAGTATTGCTGGAAAAAATTATGAGCTCAGACACTTAAAACTTTGATGCCAGACTATCTAGGTAGAGATGTTCAAAAAAGTAACTGGTTATGACTCAAGGACATCAACAGCAACAACAACAAAAAAAGAATTAAAAAGAAAAGAAAAACAAACAAAAGTGACTAGCAGTGTTGAAGGCCGAAAGATTAGGAGAAAGCTCATCTTAGAGACATAAATCACCTATATCTCTTAAGATTTCCTTCTGGGAGTCATCAGAATCAGAATATGGATAGTAGTCTATGAACACAAATGAGAAAGTACATATGACAAAAGCAACAAGCAAAGGATGGAAAGTACAGTATATAAATATTTAAAGATGTTTCAAATGAGAACTAAGTTCTGATTTTTTTTTTATCTTGCCCAAATTCCTATCTAAGGGGTCTAGGGAGTCATGCCTTACAAACTATAAATTCTCATCAGATGGGTTTTATTTAACCCTATATATCACGACTTACTTTCCAATCTGACTCTGGAATAACATTATGAGACAAGGAAGAAAGTCAAAATGTTTTACCCAAAAATATATTTCCTCGCCATACTTTGAAATTGCCCTGCAAAGTCTCTCATGGGAAAAATCAACATTCTATAGAGAATTCCCTTTCCCCTTCATTTTCTTTCCTTTCCAGACACAGGAGATAATCAACTAAGAGCCAGCAACCCTTTTGGGTCTGATAAGAAGCATTTTACAACCTGCGCTTTCTCTCTGAAGTCTGCTATCTGAGCAATTCCTCTGCACAACAAAACTTGGTCTCCACAATCCTTTATCTAACCTGAACATTCCTTTCGATGCCAGTCTTCAGATAAACTCAACCAGTTGTCAACCAGAAAATGTTTACATTTACCTATAGCCTGGAAGCCCCCACTTTTGAGTTGTCCCACCTTTCTGAACGAAACCAATGTTATTTATTACATGTATCTGATGCATGCCTCATGCCTCCCTGAAATACATAAAACCAAGCTGTACCCCAACCACCTTGGGCATATGTTCTCAGGACCTCCTGAGGGCTGTGTCACAGGCCATGGTCACTCATATTTGGCTCCGAATAAATCTCTTAAAATATTTTACAGAGTTTGACTCTTTTCATCAACAAGAAACATAAAAACATTTAAAGAAGGCCATGAAGGACTGCTTGGAGAGGGGGAGAAAATGTTGCCCTGATTCAGCATTTAACAAATGTTTATTAGGTCCCAACCACATCCCAGACACTCTTCCAAGACAGTAGTTGGGAAAAAAAAAAAAAAAAAAACAGGAGAAAATGATGTTACATTTTGGAAAGAAGTGTTTCCAAGAAGCAAGTGGTCAGTTGTGTCAAAATGAAGGATTGCAAAGTGTCATAGGTGGTCATTGTTAGCCACCTATGACTATTGTTGGGGGAATTAATGCTTATAATGCCCAACTCCATTAAAATAAAGACACAGAATAAGCTGCAAGAATAGTGATATCAGATGCTGTGAAGCAGTACAATTCAACATGTGAAACACTGACAGAAGTCAAATTTGTACTCCACCCCAAGAAACCTAAACCAATCCTTATCTGATCAGTCATGTAACAGAATAATGAATCCTGGCATTTGCTGGAAAACATATAGCGTAGGTATGGGGAAAATGCAAGTTAAGAAAAACTATCATTTGGACGGTATTAAGCTCCAGAAAATCATCAGAATAGAAAAAGTAGAAAGCAAAATCGATGTATTTATTTTTGCCCACTTCACTGGTCAAAAATATAGCTTTTCTTTACAGAATGTGGAGAAAAGGGGCTCCCCTGAAGTGTGTTAGAAGATGAGGATGGTCAGAAAAATCTGTCTGGAAAAAAAAAAAAAAAGGAACTATCTTTAAATAATACTGCAAAATAGAAATATAAGCTGCATCTTAGTAAATAAATGTCTCCGGTCAATGGGAGGAAAGGTGTGAGGCAGGCAGGATTACAAAGCAATGAGACAGTGGGAGGTAAGGGCACAGGATTTGGGGACTCATGTAGTCAACAGAGCCAGGAAATCATCCTAGACCTAAACTGCACAATCAAAAGTAGGATGTAAACAACTATTGTCGAATCAAAAGTCCTAGACATATGCTCACCAGCCTTTTGAAATGGGACAAGTGATACCACCAATCTCAACTGTAAAATAAAAGTATAGTGTTTTCCCTGCCTACTTCATGTTTTGTTACATTTACAAAATGGTGCTATTCCGCTCTGTTTAACTCACAAACACGCAGAAGGGGAGCGGGCTGAAGATGGGATGCCTGTCACAGGAGATCTGCCTCTCCCTACATCTTACCTGTCGCCTGCTGCTTCAGGAAAGGTACCTGGTAGGATCCAGGACCCACATGGGCCTCAGTGCTGCCACCTTCAGCTAATTTGAGCAGGCGGGGAGCCCGATCATACATAGTGCTCGGGGTGGTGGGGGCGCTGGGGAAGGGCAGGTGCCGAAAACGATAAAAACAAGGCGGCTACAGGTGTGGAGAAAAAGGAAGCCGACACCAGTCTGGGTAGGCCGGGACAGAACTTCCGTAAATAGAGAAATTAGCATTGGGGTTGTCTCCCCGCCCGCTCATTGGTATCAGATTTCCTCAAATCGATTTCTAGCCCTGTGGTAAAGTAGAGGGGTGAGCGACTAGAGATTAGACGTCTCACACAATCACCAGTTTGCCAGTCACGCTCCACCAAAATTGGGGATTAGGGATTAAATGCTCGCCCTGGTGCTTCCGGCCCTGACTCCGCCCACTTCTCTCCGCCGGGAAGCCTGGGGAAGAGGCGGGCCCAGTCTCTAGGGAGCCAGGTAGAGGCACCTCCCTGGGCCGAGCCCTCGGAGCATGCGCGGTGAACAGAGTCCTCGGAGCATGCGCAGTGAACCGTGAGCCTTACACAGCTCTCTCCACCCGGAGCCCGGCGCACCTTGAAGAAGGCGGGACTAAACGTCGTAGCTCTTGGGATCCCGGTAACTACTTAGGTCTTGAATTTTTTAAGTGTGCAGAAGAACCTTAAAAAACGCGTTAGGAAGGGTGAGGACTAACTTGACCTTGATCTGCTTCCCGACTCAACAGAACCTAGGAAAGAAAAAAGCAGTAGCATGAAGCAGAGAGCTTGGGGTTCCGCAAGTTCTCCCCGGATGCTACTGCAATTCCACTCGTACTCACAGAGGAAAAGCACCTCTGATCTTAACCCGTAGATAGTCCAAACTAAGACAAACCCAGGGGTTAGGGCGGTGACAAGAAATGGGGAGCCCAGAAAAAAAATCACAAAGAAGATAAGAGTAAAAAAGAAAAAAAAAAAAAAAGAAATGGGGACCCCAGGAAAGGAGGCGAAAAGCTCACCAACTGAAGCCGGGCAAGTGGCGAAAACTGCCGCTTTTGTCGGATGCCAGGCAACCACAATATTGATTCATCTCTTTATAAAGCAAAGCGAAGGCACTGAAAAAGCTCAGTCCACCCCCACTAAACCATGGGTCTCAACCTCGGGCAAAAGAAACCTAGCTTGTCCTTGGGAGCTTAAGGAATCTATGTCAGAATCCACCTCTGCTTCTCGCAGGCTGTTTTTCCCGGGAAGAATTCTGTCCAGATTCTAAATATCCTCAAAGGCTTAGACGAATCCTACCTTGATCCTATCTCGCTTCCGAATGATCTACAGTACTGTAATTTGTTCCTACTACAAGTTTTTATAGTTTTCATATTCTGTAGTACATACGCGATTTGCCACTCAATTCTATGCAACATTTACTGTGGCTTCATTGTGCCATATATGTCGGAACCCACTCCTTGCGAGGCTATATGCTTCTCAAGGATGTATCTGTAATACCTTTTTTCCTGTTCATTAGCTAGCTAAATTATTTATGCACTTAAAAAACAAGAATTGGTGTATACTATAGGTTCCATCCCTTCTAAGTTATGAGGATGAAAAAGCATAAGAAAGTCCCTGCCCTCAGGTGTTCTCTCTCTAATGGGGAGAGACGTATAATCCAAAACGAGAGGTGGCAAAGATTTTTTTTAATGGCAGGAAAACGAATATTGTAATATTTTGGAAACATCTCACCAACTTCGATTCTCCCTGCATTCTGTCAGAAACCCTCATAATTCTCTCAACGTTATTTTAACCTTATTTTCCAAACTGCCACCTATACCCATTCAGAAGAGCTAGATATTTACTATGACATATTAGAGTCACAGAGATGAAAGAGAAAAATTCATGTGCTCTGTATGACAATCCAGTGGTGCTTGTAAATTTGCCCGCTATGTCCTTAAGGACATCATTTACCCTTGATGATCCAAACAAAGCTATCAACCCAAACTGCAAACTCAGGTCTAGGCCGTGGTTGCCGTAGGGACTGATGCAGAATTTCATGCCCCGTCTGGCCATTCTGTCTGCAGCAGTCTACATTATTGTTTGCTGGGATTATACATATTTTTGGAGATTGGAAATGGAAATGGTAAAGCGGACTTTATATGCTTTCTGTGTGATTTGATTTTCAGCCATTGAACGTAACCTAACTTAGACAAAGGGAGTTCTTCGTTGCACCCCCCTAGCTCATTTGCAGGCCTCTAAGGGAGAGTTTCTAACTGAGTACCACCTAGGAATACATTTACCTTGCCTGCCTCCTGAGTGAATGCTTTTTCCTCAAGGCTTCACGGAAATGGGTAGTTGATCAGTGGCAGGACTCCAGCGTTTCTGGGTCTTCTGGCCAGATCCTACCTAAATATTACACCACTGACGTACAACCTATATACTCTTCATAATTTGGTAATAATTGGTCTCTCAAAATTCTGCATTCTTAACAAAAAAATCTTTCTTTTAAAAGTTTCTATGAGGCCAGGTGCAGTGGTTCACACCTGTAATCCTGAATCCTAGCACTTTGGGAAGCCCAGGGGGGAGGATTGCTTGAGGCCAGAAGTTCAGGGCCAGCCTGAGCAACATAGGGAGATTCCACCTGCACAAAAAGAAAAAAAAATTTAAAAATTAGCCAAGTAGGAGTTTGAGATTACAGTGAGCTATGATGGTTCCACCGTACTCCAGCATGGAAGACAAAGCAAGACCCCGTCTTAAAAGAAAATTGTTTTAGTATGAAAATTTCTATTTCCTTGATGACTGTGGCTATGCTCTCTGTATTTCCCAGCTATTATTTCCTCCTTATGGTTCAGTAATGAGAATGATACACAGTATTTCAAGATTGGAAAATATTTTTTAATGAGAAAAATAAATCTTTCTCATTTTCTCATTGTAAATATTTATTCAATATTCTGGAATTAGTATACTACTAAAAAAATTAATATGTTAACACAGAATTATAATTACATATAAATATGAAATAATGTGGTTCAGCATTTCTAAATTCCTACAAAAGTTTTGATGCTAATTAACCACACTATATAACCATTTTACTATATTAGTAATTCCATAGATGGAACCTATGTTTGAGCTAAGATTTATTTGAGTTCAAAATTTGAGTTCTTTCCATTTCTCCCTGCTGGCTTATACCAGAATAAACTTCAAAATGAAACTTGAACAAGAACAAGGCCCAAGAAATTAAACTAATTCAATATTGAATATGTTGGCTGCAATGAAGAACAGAAAAAGCATATTAGGTAAAAACTAAAATCCAAATAAACTAAAATCCAAATAAAGTTAGTTAATAACAATGTATTAATATTGCTTCATTATTTCTTCCTGCTTGCTAATTCCATCTGCACATACACACACACACACAAATTTTTTTGAAGACAGGGTATTGCTTTGTCTTTCAGGCTGAAATACCATGGCACTATTATAGTTCACTGTAATCTCAAACTCCTGCCTGCTATAGGAGCAAATAGCAGAAACTCTCTGTGGGTTATAGATTGGGTATCTCTCTGTACTTTGTAATTTTTCCAAAAATCTAAAACTTTTCTGAAATAAAATATTAGTTAAAAAACAGGCATGAATACCAGATGAAAATTACAACTAAGTCTTGCATAACTTAAAAAAGAAATAATTCCAATGTTATTTAAAATATTCCATATTATAAAGAAAAAATTCCTTCCATTTTATTCATGAATGTATATAACTTTAATACTAAAACATGTTTAAGAATCAACCAAAAAGGAATAATACAATCAATCTCTATCACAAATATGTATCTAACAAATAAAATGAAACAATAGCAAACAGAATCTGGCAATGCTGTTATAGGATAATATGTTAAGACCAAATAAGTAACTTCTCTAATTGCCCGGATAATTCAGTTTTAGAAAACACTACATAATCTTCTACATTAATAAATTATCAAAGAAAATAATATATGTTCATATCAATAGATGAAGAAAAGACAGTTGAGTGATCCTCCTACCTAGGCCTCCCAAAGTGGAAAAAAAAAAAAAAAAAGCATTTGATGAAATTAAAGAGCTATTTGTAATGATAATTCTACATTTAATGGAAATTGAGGAATACTATTTTAATATAATAAAAAATACCTTAAAAATTAAAATCAATAAGTGTTATCCCAACCAGGAAATACTAAAACTATTTCAATTAAAATAAAAAATAAATAGAAATGTCTCTATTATTATTACTATTATCTAATAATGGTGTGTCATGCTTGCTTCGACAGTACATATACTAAAATAATGGTGTGTCTATTGAATACAACAAAATTAAGTAAAATAACTGATAGTTGGAAAGAAAGATATAAAAATATCTCTTTTTGCCTATGATGTAATTGGACGCCAAAATAGTACAGGAAAATGCAATAAATTACCCTAGGATTACAAGAGAATTAAGTATAGTGACCATATTAAAGTTAAACATATAAAAATCAGTAGTTTTTATCTATCCTAACAATTACCTAAAAAGGAAATTGGAAAAAAATCTCATTTTCAATAAAGACAAAAATAATGACAGAATTACTCAAAGGAAACGCATAGAATATAAACAAAGAAGATAGGAACAAATGGAAAGACATCAAAGTTAAATAGGAAAACAATATTAAAATATCAATTCTCCCAAAATTAATATATGATTTCAATTAGAATTCACCTTTTTTTTGATATAATAATGTGGGGGAATAGAGTATGAGGAAAAGAATGGTGAAGAATAACTCTGATTTCCATGAATCAGAAGATATAGTGGCTGTAAAGCCATTATAATCAAATCAATGTGGCATTGGCATAGTAAAAGACCAGGAGAACTAAAGAAAGAATCCAGAAATATTTTCTAGTGTGTGTATGTTAATTTGCTCATGTGTGTTTGTCTGTGTGGTGTGCGTGTATGTTCCAATAAAACTTTATGGGCACTGAAATTTGAATTTCATGTGAATTTCACATGTCATAAAATATTATTCTTTAAAAAATTTTTTCAACCATCTAAGAATGTAAAAAACATTTTTGTAATGGTATGAGAATAAGGAAAACAATAACAAATGCAGTACTTTCTTTTTAAAAGTATGAATGGAATGGTAAGGCATTTTACTTTTCCTTCTAAGAACGTCAAATGAATAATAAATAAAAAGTCTTTTTAAAGTATGGTGTGTGCTTTTAGAAACTGAAAATTGATGAATTTGGCACTGCTCATTCTTTTTATTCAGTATGTTAAAAATGGAAACTGTATTGAGGTTCAAATCTCAGTAGGTCAACTTATAAATTGTTGACAACAAAATTTAAGAATATATTTACATGGCATTTATCAAAAGCTACCCTCTTGCATAATGGTCCCAAAGGAGTTTATTATAGTTTTAGGAGATTCTCAGTTGTTGGGATTCTGTCTCAGCATGGTACAGTGTTTTATTAAACATAGGTAACTATATTTTTCTATTATATATACAAATGACATTAAATTGATTTGTAGTTCTCATTGATTTAGAGGCTAAAGCTAGCCTGACTTCAGCTAAGTACTTTAAAAATCATTACCTTGAATAATATTCAGCCTTAAAAAGGAAGGAAATCCTGTCACATGCTACACTTATTTTAATCTTCA